TGTCGATACAGATATGTACATTATATATTGATATTTTTCTTATTATGCATGATAATTCACGTTCTTATATTTTTTGTTCTCTTAACCTTAACACGTAGGAGAATTTTAGCATTATTAAAGGAAACGAATATCGTCATTATAGCGCAATCATGATGATATATTTGATTATTGCGTTACATCATATTGAATATCATATTCATCGTTTTTAATAATCATTTAATTACAGGAAAATGCTTTGGAAAGGGTACTCCCATTTTAATGTATGATGGACACATCAAAGCTGTTGAAACAATTAAAGAAGGTGATCAAGTGATGGGTGATGATAGTACACCTCGCAATGTTAGCGGCGTCACTAGTGGCGAAGGTGTTCTTTACAAAATAGTACCAATAAACTGTGCATTTTCTCAGCCTTTTGTGTGCAATGATGCCCATATCCTTGTTCTTCAGATGATGTCAGGACCTTCCTTGCGATATCAATGCAGTAAGGATGGAAAAGCATTATTTAGGCTTGTTTACTTTACACATGGTAGCGCCACAAATTTAATACAAAAAAAAGTCAAACTTTATCCGTTTCGAAGTACGGACTATACTATCAATAATGCTAAGCAAATTGCCATTCGCGATTTGGAATTACTTAATAAAGTTGAAAATCTCAGTTTGGGTGGCTCAAATTCCCGCATTTCTATCGTGAGACCAGGCTTCATATGGCAACCATCTGTTACGCAATTTTTAAATTGTGATCCTGAAGTGCAGTCTCAAGCCAAAATGTTTATTCCAGAAAAAGTTCGATTCCCAAGTCGGGAGGGTACTTTTGCCAAAATCGTCGAGAGTATCATCGATATACATTCTTCTCCTGCTATTATTAAATTATGTGCTTGGTTGGTTGGCTTTTGGATCGGTACGAATGCAATTAATAAACACAAAAAGGGTCATCTTTCAGACCATAGTGGAGAAATTATGACAGTTTATAGAATATTATATTCTGAATATAAAGTTGTCAACCGCAATTTATTGTTCCGTCTTTTGCAAGAACTTGACATTTTGATAGACAAAGATATTCCCGAAGTCATGATGCTCGATGACATTATACAAGTTCGCCTTCCTTTACTTTCTGGCATTATTTGTAGCTTTGGTGAGTCACAAGACAAAATTGCTAGGATGGTAAAAAAAGATGACCCAATAATACGAAAATTCGTCCGTCTTTCCCGTTCATGTGGCTTCACGTTATTCCCTGATGATTTAACAGATAGAAAGGTTGGTAAATTGCAAAGACAATCTATACATATGATAACAAATCATTTATACAAATTTTATTAAAGAAACAGGAGGTTATAAGGTCACGAAAGAAAGAGCAGTATTGGAGATTTAAAGTTGAAGAAATTGGAATAGGTGACTACTATGGCTTCGTAGTGGATGGAAATCACCGCTTTTTACTGGGTGATTTTACTGTAACGCATAATGTATGTAAATCATGTAAATTTGCTTTAATATAACGTTGAAACAATAAATCATACAATTCTCAAACATATATATTTAAGACAAAATTGTTAGATAAGGTCCGTCAAACAAACGTCCAAGAAGGTGAAGCTGGAGGTATTACACAACAAATTGGTGCCACCTATTTTCCCATGGAGACTATTAAAACCAAAACTGCTCCACTTAATAAGGTATTGTACCCTTTTTTTTTTTATTTAAACCTCCTAACGTGATCGGCAGAGGACAAAAAATATAAGAACGTGAATTATCATGCATAATAAGAAAAATATCAATATATAATGTACATATCTGTATCGACA